TGTGGGCATGCTGTAAATTGTCTTTATTATGCTGAAGTTTGACCCTTATATTCCTAGGATTTCCAGGAATTTTTATCATGAAAGGATGTTGGATTTTGTCAAAGGCTTTTTCTGCATCTAATGAGATGATCATGGGTGTTTTGTCTTTCAGTTTATTTATGCAGTCAACTATATTTATTGTTTTACATCAATAAATGAACCATCCCTGCATTTCTGGTATGAAGCCAACTTTATCACGGTTGGGTTTTTTTTATGTGTTCTTGAATTTAGTTTGCAAGGATTTTATTGAGTTTTTTTTTGCATCTATGTTCATAAGGGATATTGGATAATCTTTTGTCAAGTCTTTGTGTGGTTTGTTAACCAAAATAATTCTTCCATTTCTATTTTGTGGACTAATCTGAGGCATGCTAGTGTCAGTTCTTTGAAAGTCTGGTAGAATTCTGGGGGGAATTCATCCGGCCCTGGGCCTTTTGTGGGGAGGGAGATTTTAATAACTGCTCCTATTTCACTTGGGATTATGGGCCTATTTTAATTGTTTGTTTTCTCTTGGTTTAGCTTTTTAGGTCACATATCAAGAAATTCATCCATTTATTTTTTTATTTTCCAGTTTGGTATAATACAGGTTTTTAAAGTATGCCTTTATGGGTCTCTGAAATTTTTTGAAAGCTGTTGTAATGTCTCCCTTTTCATCTCTAATTTTGTTAATTTGTATCTTCTCTATATATTTTTGCTAATTTGACTAAAGGCTTGCAAATCTTGTTGATTTTCTCAACCAAAAAACAAACAAACAAAAAAAAACAGCTCTTCATTGATTCTTTGTGATTTTGTTGGCTTGTTTATATTCATTGACTTCAGACCTAAGTTGATTTCTTCCTGTCTACACTTTTTGGGGTATTATTTCTTCTTACATTTCTAGAGCCTGCAAGTGTGTTATTATTTTATGATAAGTTATAAGTTATTTTTTGATGTAGGCACTTAGTGCTATGAATTTTTCTTTTAGAACTGCCTCCGTATGCCCCATTGTTTTAGATACGTTTTTTCATTCAATTCTAAAAAAGTTTTTTTAGTTTCCTTACTTCTGCCTTGACTCAGTTTTCTTCTAGTAGTGAGTTCTTTAGTTGACACGAGTTCATGAGCTTATTGCAGTTTCTGTTGCTGGTGTCCACCTTTAAGCTCTGCTAGTCGGAGAGGATGCAGGGTGCTGCTTCAGTTTTCCTCTGTGAAGTCTTTCTTTGTTCACTAATACGTGGTCAGTTTGGAGAAAGTTCTATGGTCTGCTGAGAATAAAGTGTATTCTTTAGCTTTGGGTGGAATGTTCTGTAAATGTCTGTTTGGTCCATTTAATTTATGATGTTATTTGACTGCACCATTTCTCTGTCTAGTTTTTGTCTAGATTCCCTGTCCATCGGCATAAGTGGGATACTGAAATCACTATCACTGTGTTAGGGTCAATATGTGATTTTAAAAGTAGTAATGTTTCTTTTTTGAACTTGGATGCCCTGGTATTGGCACATGAATGTTTAAAATTGTTATATTTTGGTGGATTTTTTTTTCCTTCAAGGAGTACATAGGGACCTTCCACATCTCTCCTGATTGGTTTTTGTTTGGAGACTACTGTACTAGGTACTACAACAGCCACACCTGCTTGCTTCTTGGTTCTATTTTCTTAGAACACAGTTTCCATTGTTTTATTCTAAGGTAAGATTTGTCCCTATTTGTGAAGTGTGTTTCTTAAATGCAACAGAAAGATGAATTCTGTTTTTTAGTTCTGAAAGCTATTTTTTGTCTTTGGGGGTAATAGATGCTATCAACATTACTAGTTTTTATTCAGCAGGATTTATTAATTCTTACTATTTTATTGTGGTGGTATTTTTTTCTTTTATCTGTCGATTAACTGTCCTGGGATTATTTATCCCTGTGTCCTCTTGGGTGTGCTTAACCTCTCTTCATACTAATATTTTCCTTCTAGTGTCTTCTGTAGAACTGGGCTAATTTTAAAAAATTGTTTAAATTTGTTTCTATTATGAGATATTTTTTTCTTTCTCCCTTGGTTGTGATTGATAGTTTTTCTGGGTATAAGAATCTTGGTTGGTATCTATGACCTTTCAGAGGTTGTAGAACATCCATGGAGGCCTTTTGGGCTTTTAGAGACTCCACTAAAAAGGCAGATGTTATTCTAATGGGACTTCTTCCTATGTGAGTTAGTCTTTTCCTTTTGCAGCTTTTAATATTCTTTCTTTGTTCTGCACATTGTTTTGTTTAGTATGTGCCATGGGGATTTTCTTGTCTGGTCTTGTCTGTTTGGTGTTCTGTGTGTCTCTTGCCCCTTGCTGGACATTTCTTTCTTTAGATTGGCAAAAAAAAGTCTATGATTTTATTTGAAATATTTTTATATCTTTGATCTGATTTTCTTCTCCTTCCTCTATAACTAATTTGTAGGTTTTGTCTTTTTATAGTGTCCCAGATTTCCTGGATGTTTTGTGCCTCAAATTTATTTTTAGATTTAGCATTTTGTCTTACTGATCTATTTTTTCTGCTCTATCCTCAAAACCTGAAATTGCTCTCTTACATGTCTTTTAATTTGTTGTTGAAGCTTACACCTGAGGTCTCCATTTTTTTTTTAATTTCAGTTTGGTTTTTATTTAGTGATTCTTTTTTTTTTTTTTGCTAAATTCTGCTTTCATTTCTTAAATATTTTCCTCATTTAATTTAACTGTTTGTACACTCACAGTTTTTGGTTTGGAATTTATTCACATCCTTTTAAGTCCTTGAATAAATTCGTAATTGGTATTTTGAAGTCATTGTCTTGTGATTCAAATAAATTAACTTTCTCGGGGAACATCACAGTGGAGTTGAAGGCCTCTGGACAAGGCATACTATCTAGATTGTTCTCATTTTTTCCTTTGCACCAGGAATGGGCATCTGCAATGATGGCATCCGTGGTATTTCTTGGTGTAGATATCTGGTCTTACTTTTGTTGGGTGGATGTTTGGTTCTTTGGTTGCTCTTGCCCCAATCTGACAGGTTTGGACCAGAATGACATTTGGTTTGGGGTCATTCTGGATTTTAGGCTTCAAACTGTCACTAATCCTAGATCTGAAGTACTAGTTGGATTTCTAGGTTCCTGTTTAAGCAGTCCTAGATTAGTGTAGTGGTTCGGTTGGGTGGGTGATGGACTAGCAGGTGGGGGAAGATTTGGGGTCCAGCTCTACGAAGAGTGGCAGAGACCGAACTAGGGGCATGCTGGCTCTAGGCAACTGTGGTGAGCTAGAAGGAGGGACTGAGGAAGACAGGTCTAACTATTCTAGAGAAACCAGAATGGGGGAAGGGAAGGAGCACAAAAATAGTCTTGCTGGGTCCCGGTCAAGTGCCATATTAATTTTTGCCAGCCTTGTTTGAGGTTGGGTATTCAGCCACTTGCAACATAGAGTTCTAGTAGTGCTTACCCTTCTCTCAACCTCAAATGTTTCTCCAGAATAAGAATAGAAGCAGCGCACAGCAGATAGCTTTATTTGTAACTTTGGAATGGATCTTTATTTGTAGAAAAGAACAATAAGCAAGCACTTTAAAAGACCAAGCCTCCAGCGTTCTTACCAAAGGGAATCATTCAGAACATAAACTTGAAAAGAAAACCACATTTGCAGAGCTATTTATTCGTTTCCTAAACCTTTAAAGTGCTCCATTCAAGCAGTTTCCTCCTAAGGGAAAGTCTACCACTCTGAGCCATTTGTAGCTCCTTTTGTAATTTATACAAGAGACTTTTACAAAATCATTTGAAGTCATCCCTTTGTTTTTTCAATTTCCAAACATCTCTTGGCTTTAAGGATCGTTTTAAAATATCCAAATGCAGGGCCTGAGCTACAGCTCAATGGTGAGCACTTGACTAGTGTGTGGGAGCTCTGGGTTGATTTCAAGAGTCACCATTAGTTCAGTAACACGTGGCTGCCCAGGGGCTGCATATGCCCACTGCTCACAGACAGAAGAAACAAAGGACTATAGAACTATAAGACATGGAAGCCAAGGAGGTCTCAACACACACTGAGAGCCAGGCAGTGTGTCAAGGTGCTCCTTCAAAGGCCAGCACTAACCAAGATCTTGGGCCAAGTGTATTTAACAGCTCCTAAGACAGAGTTAGCAAAGGACTCTTATAGAGAACCACCTATGTTTTAAGGGTTATTTGTTTATTTTATGTGTATATATGTGTACCTGAATATATTCAAGAGCACCATGAGCATGAAGTGTCTGCAGAAACCAGAAAAGAACATAGGATTCCCTGAAACTGAAATTATAGGTAGCCATGAACTGTCCAGTGTGGCTGCTGGCATCAGAACCCAGGTCCTCTATGAGATCAACAAATGTTTGTAAACATAAAGCCATCTCTGCAGCCCTCCCACCTGTAAGTCTTGGAAAGTAAGAATTAATTCAGGAGTGCCAGTTCTTCCTCTACCCTGTCAGTGCCCAGGGAAAGAATGAGACAAATTGTTCTGTGCTTTGTGTTTCTGGCTGAAATTACTTTTTTGAGGAAGAATTCTACGGGTGTTGTAGAAAGCATAGGCATCTTTCACCTCCACGGGAAAGGATGGAGCTGTCCATTTGAACAGGAGCTGGGATCTTAAAATCACAGTGTTTCTAAATGAGATGGCTCTCTGGGTAAGAATGAGTGCTGTAGAAACTGAACTGAAGTAAATTATGGATAGCAATGATGTGGGATTCCCCTCTGCATTCTGTGAATATGTTTTATTGTCATTGGTTAATAAAGAAGCTACTTTGGCCTATGACAGAACAGAATATAGCAAGGCAGGAAATCCAAGCAGAGATAGCAGAGGAAAGAAGGTGGAGTCAGGGAGATGCCATGTAGCTGCCAAAGGGGAAAGATGCCAGAACCTTACTGTAGGTAAGCCACAGCCTCGTGGCGATACACAGACTAATAGAAATGGGCCAATTTAAAACATAGGAGCTAGCTAGGAATACGCCTGAGCTATCAATCAAAGAGTGTTGTAAATAATATAGTTTTGTGTGATTATTTGAGTCTGGGTGGCCAGGAACCAAAAGTGCAGTCTCCACTTACAACAATGGCATTCAGGAGACTGCTTACTTTCAAGCAATCGTCAAGAACCTTCGGAGGATTCGGGGGTGGGGAGCTCAGCTTTTGTTTCATTTTGTTTTGTTTCTTTGGTTTTTGGAGACAGCGTTTCTCTGTAGTTTTGGAGCCTGTCCTGGAACTAGCTCTTGTAAACTAGGCTGGCCTCAAACTCACAGCAATCCTCCTGCCTCTGTCTCCTGAATGCTAGAATTAAAGGTGTGCACCACCACCGCCACCACCAACCAGCTTGGGGAGGTGAGCTTTAACCGGCAATTGCTCCTAGGCTAAGGAGAACACATCTCACACAGAGACTTTCATCTGTGGAAAAACACAGAGTGGCATGGAATGAGATCACATCAGAAAATCTCCTATCCCAGCAGCCTTGAGGGACAGGGAACAACCCACATGTGGAGGTGGAAGGGATTTCCCTAGCTGGAAGGAAGGGCAGAGCACAGACGCAGAGAAGCAGATGGCAGAGTGGGGAAGGACTCAATGATTGTCCGTCCAGCTGGAATAGAACCTGGACATAGAACCATCTTCTCTGAGAGAGCTCTACCAAGAAGAGCTCCTGATGGATGTAATTTGAGACCCCCAAATGAGGTGGACAAGAGACCTCTACCAACACTCTGAATAAGCATGTGGTTTTGGAAAATGGTACTTTCCTATAAGCCATGCAACTTGGATAGAAAGGTATCCTGGCAGTTGGGAGCCAAGGAATACCACAGTCACTGTAAGCGTAGCAGGGAAAGGTTTCCCCAGTGAAACACTTCTGCTCGAGTCCCCCAGAGTGTAACAACTCTGCTCCTCTAGGGGAAGGTTTCCCCAATGAAAGTGTTCTGGTCCACTCTGCTCCCCTCCAGCTCCTGGATTCTTCCCTCTCAATAAACCTCTCAAATGAGATTTGGGTGACGATCTTCTTTTGCCGGAGTGGAGCCAGGCAGAGAAGTAACAACGTTTGTAAGAGCTGGCCCTTTTAACCTACACTTCCCGTGGAAACAGACTCTGCTCTGGCCTTCACTTTTATCTCTGCCATTTTAATACATTTAAGACTTTAGACATTCATAAACTCAGCCTAAAGACCCCAACTGTAAAAAGAGGAGATACTGTATTTCATATGTATACTGTATACATATATAAGGTATACATATGTATACCTTACAGGATTTGTGTGAACATCAAGAGAGACAGTGAACACAAAATAGCATTATCTACTTCTTTATAGTCAGTGAGAGTATTGTGAAACTCCCCCCTAAATGTTATTTTTATTCTATTATTGCTACTATGTAAGACTTGTGGAGGCCAGGGGATGCTTCTTTTCCTGAACTAAGAACACTGAAATGATTTTTTTTAATAAAGCCATTTCACGAATGAATGAGTACACTTGTGGATAATATTTAGAACCCTCAAACTCAATAATAAAATCAATCTTTCAAACTATGCTGAAAGCCTGTTGACTGTTCCTTGATTCTTGGGATACTTAGGTCATTGGGAGCTCAGAGTTAGTTGGTATCATGGTACAGGAGGAAGCCAGTGAAGGTACAGTCATTGACATTATCTGCATAGAGTCCGTTATGATCCCCATCCCCATACACCTGGAGCCAGACTTGGTCGCCCACCTCCAGGTGGAGGAGCACAGAGCCGGAAGCCTGGTCCACGTTCTTTTCCTGGTACTGGTCGTAGGTGAAGAGAACAGCCTTGTCCTTCTTGAAGAGGCCCACCTTCACGTCCTTCATGTACACCGTGATGTGGTAGGAGAAGTAGTAGAGCCCGGGGATGTTGCAGTAGAATTTCCCAGTGCTGGCATCGTAGTGATTCTGTTGGTTGTAGAAGATCTTAGTAAAGCGAATGGGAACACTGGGCACAGTGACTCCGGTCTCCAGCCCCACGCTGAATGCTGAGCGATACACATAAGCGCCTTCTCCAGGCTCGCCTTTCCTGCCAGGGATTCCGGGAAAGCCTCGGGGTCCTTCAGCTCCAGTCCCCCCAACATCTCCTGTCTCACCCTTAGGACCAAGAAGACCTAGAAAGGGAGAAGAACTCTGTGACTGCTGGGAACAGAGCTGCCCAGGCTCTTTCCAGGGCCTCCACCCACAATGCATTTGACAGGACAAGGAAAGATGTCATCTCCACTTCACACACCCCGGGTGGGTTCCCATAAGTTCATCTCCAACCATGGTTTTTAAAGTTATGAATGTGTTAAAAAAAAATAGGTGAGCAAACTGATTAATACTGAGAACTTTCTCGCTAGATAGTTCATCCTGGCTCATTGTTCTTTGCTTAATTGGGCCTGGTAGAGGCTTTGAGTTAGTAGTAGTCACTTGGGGTCAGAAGATGTTCTGATCATGATGTATTCATCTACTCATTCATCTATTCATTCCTTCATCTCATACCTTTCCATACCGCCCCAGAAATTCATCTCCTGTAAGTATCCATCACAGTTAATTTGTCCTACGCATCCTTTGTGCACTGGCTAACCAACCTTGTGCTGCCTTCTATTCCCTCTGTCCAAATGTCCTCCCTCCTCTATTCTCTGGAGTCGACCTTCAAGGGATGGCTCAAGCCCAGTCTCCTCAGCACAGCCTGATCATGAATCTGCATGAATCTGGTGCTCTTCTCCTGGATTCCATACCTTCAGTCTTTGCACACATTCTGATTGGCGTGTTTGAAGACTCTTGGTCCTCGTAACCTGCTACCTAGAGTCTTGGACATTAGACTTGTCTTCGTGACTAAACCAAGCATTCTCTAGAAGCTGCCGGGTGCTACAAGAGTGCTCAGAAAGGACAGATGGCTGACAATGGTAGAGCAAGAATTAGGGCGGAAGAAGAATAATCCATTGGGAATGTGGACATGGGTAGGCAGAGGGAAGAGGCAGATGGAGGAAAGTCGTGGATACCTCAGTAGGTACCATTTCATCTCACTCAAAGAGGACAACTCGAGCTCCGGATGCTTATGAACCAGTTAAGAAAGGTTTTGCTTCTTGCCTGTGCCTGGGCCTTAGTAACTGGTGTCACATATCCTGCTGATGTGGGATAGCCTTCTGTATATGTGTTGCTTTTATTGGTTGATGAATAAAGCAGCTTTGACCTATAGCAGGGCAGAATATAGCTAGACTGAAAGAGATATAGAAAGAGAGTAGGTGGAGTCAAAGAGACGCCATGTAGCCACCAAAGGAGACAAACCACAAGCCTTGTGGTAAAATCTAAAATAATAGAAATTGGCTAATTTAAGATATAAGAGTTACTTTATAAAAAGCCTGAGCTATTAGGCCTAGCAGTGTTGTAATACAGTTTCTCTGTGATTATTTCAGGTCTGAACAGCCAGGAACAAGCAAGCGGTCTCACCTACACTCAGCAAAGCCCCACTCTGCCCAGGACTCTTCATACCTGCATCTCCTTTCTCGCCCTTCTCACCAGGAGTACCATCTCTGCCATCACGGCCTGGTGTTCCATTGTGGCCAGGATGTCCTGGGATGCCTGCCATCCAACCTTCACAAGTCCCCTTGGGAGGAGGGAGCGGGACTCCTGGTTCTTCAGCTGTGGTAGCCCCAACATGGCGGTGCAGAACTAAGAGCAGCAGGGCGGTTTGCAGCAGCATCCTGAGCCCTAGAATCAACAAGTGCATAGCCATGGGACGGGCAGACGCACACAGTACATCCAATCAGCCTGCATCGTTCCATCCCTCTGAGTGGAGTCTCTTCCAAAGATCTGCACCTTTAATACTCACCTCCCCAGGAGGCCTTCAGTGGCTGCCCCAGTCCTCATCCCTCCCAGGAGGCCTTCAATGATTGCCCCAGTCCTTACCTCTCTCAAAAGTCCTTCAGTGGCTGCCCCAGTCCTCACCTGTCCTGGAAGGCCTTCAGTGACTATCTCTGTCCCTACTCTCCCAGAAGGCCTTCACTTAGAATCCTTCTCTGAATTTGCAATGCATAGCATAATCAATCTCCTGCACATTATCTCCTTCAGCGGCCAGATTGTGCATTCACAGGCAGCAGGGATGATCTACTTCTAGTCTCCTCATCCTGAACACAGGCCCAGGCCCTGGGAGCGCTCCGAAATCCTGTCCTGGGTTTTTCTGGTTGTTCCATTCAACTCTGCTTCTTACTCCCTGGTTCTTCTTCTTTTCGCCCTCGTTTTCATATACACATGTACACTTGTGAGCACTTGTATGTACAAGCACAAATACCCCCCCACACTCACACTCACACACACTCATTGGAGACTACAGAAGAAAAAGCAACTAATTCCGAAGGATATGTTTATTCTTAAAGAACAGCAAAAATCATTCTTCACCTGAAACACTGTTTCGGTTTTGTCACCTCTTGTGTTTATAATCCTCATCTAAAATACCTGCATTGTTAGTCCAGTAGGAGCTACATAGTGAGACTCTGTCTCAACAGTAATACCAGAAGATGTTGTTTAGTGGGCAGAATAAATGGTTTCCATTCTCCAGTCACTAATAAGTTGTACAATTTACTGAAACGGCTGTCTCTTAATCCCCTCACTAAGTATCTCTGTGAGTGGTCTCTGTTGGTTAACTTACTAGCATCACAATGTGTTTCTTCTGCATTTTTGTTTACTTGAACTGTTTTGGTTTTGTTGTGGAGGACACTATCTTGAGAAAGTGTTCCATGTAACCCAGCCTAGCTCCAAACCTACTGCAGTAGGAGGAGAGGGCCAGAGACAACTGCCTGAATCATGTACGGCTCCCGGAGAGCATCAGTGGGCTCCCAGACTCTCTGTGAGCATCTCTGTGGGCCTTTGTCGCCATCTACTGAATCGGGAGGGCTCAGAAGCATAGTCTCAACAATGGCTGCAGGGAAATAAAAATGAAGCACTTTAGGTCTGGATAGTCCCGAGAGCAAAAGAGGCAAGTTAGAGAAAACCAGAGGAGAGTCCCCAAATGTCCCTCTTGTATTTAGGGAGAATGCTTGTCCTGAAACTTTTTTATTACCGTCAGTCAGCTAGCTAGGTAGATTGGTCAGCAGTGTGTGTGTGTGTGTGTGTGTGTGTGTGTGTGTGTGTGTGTTCGCGTGCGCGTACCTGTGGGTATATACTCACAGAAGTCAGAGAGCACCTCGGTCAGCTCCCTCCTTCCCCCAATTGGGTCCTGGGGAACGAACTGGAGTCATTAGGTTAGGCACCTTTAACCCACTGAGCGATCTCACTAGCCCTTGCTTTGAAGCTTTACAAATGTCCTCTATCTTGTTTCGTCTCTGCCCTTTCTTCTTACAGCCTCAGCAACCACACTCCTGAGAAGTTTAACTCTGATCTCCACGCCCCCGACACACACAAACACCCAGATGTGAAGAAGGAAGAGTCTATGATGCGACAATCTTTCCAGTGGGAAAGAAGAAAGAATCCAGAATTCATGTGGACTAATGTAGGTAGTTAAGGAGGACCCTCTGGATAATGGGTGGCCCAGGACTTACCCTAAATGTTGGGAAGGGAGGCAAAGACAGACCCCTAAAGTTTTCTGGTTCTCCCTTTCTGCTGAGGAAATCAGCATCCTTTCTCCCCTAAAAGAACACATTCTTCCCCAAGACCTCTGTGTTCCCAGTACCTTTCTCGACTCACAGGTGCAGCTGTTCCGTGATCCCTGAGAGTGGCAAGGGGTGGAGGTGCCAAACAGCACATACCCTCGGCTGTTTCTTTTTTTAAGATTTTTTTTAATTATTTGACTATTCCTGGTGGTGTACACCTGTGTCCAGGCGCACATGGAGGGCAGAAGGCTTGGATCGCCTAGAGTTGGAGTTACCAACAGCTGTGAACCAGGGCCTTTGCAAGATGCCTCTGCGCATGCGTCAACTGCTGGACTGACTCTCTCTCTCTCTCTCTCTCTCTCTCCCCCTCTCCAGTCCCTAAGCACTTGCTAAGGACAGGTCCTAATTGAAGGCTTCATTCCCACCTGATTCTGGGTAGAAAGTCAGCTATGGATAACCACTGAAGGACACAGAATGCATCTTTTTCAAAAATTTGAAATTATTTCGGTTCTTTACATAGTTGTTACACTTTGATTTTGAAAGATTTCTATTTCTATGGGCAAACACTCTTGCCTGGAACTGAGTACTGGGCATGATCTATGGTTGGAGCATGCTACCAAAAAAAAATGTTTTGGATAGGTCATGAGTTTTGGATCGGTCATGAAGCTAGATGTCGAGAATCGTGTATAATGCTTTACATTTGGAAAGTCTCGGTCGGGCCCGGTCCCGTCATCTCATTTAACCATCACGACCACTTGGGAGACAATACGGGGTCCTCAGGGAGACATGCACTCAGGTACAGACAACCAGCAAATAACCAGTTCTCACCCTTTACGTGTCTGTTGGAAGACTGAATGACAATTGACAGACCATGCTTCACAGAGCGTCCGGAATAAGCTGGTGAGCAATGGCTCTCAGTTATGTCTGCACTGATTTAGGGGTGACGAGAGGGGGCTTCTGAGTGGTTGGGTGATGTCCAAGAGGCTAGAACTAACCACAGAAGAGGTGGAAGTCGAGCCCTGACCTAGTAACAGACTCTCCGACAGTAGAGAAAAGTGGTAAAGTCACATATCTGCCTTTAGTATCCCTCCCCCATGGGGGGGGGGTGAGAGACAGAAGATTGCAAATCAAAAAGCTGGCTTCTCAGCTAGCCCCCTCTTCATTCTGCCCACATCTTCCTCCCTGGTTTTATGCTCTTTGCCTAGATGTATGATCATGAGACCCAGTTGGCAGAAAGTATGGATTATTTTATAAACTTATGATCTGCTATACACATATATGAGACAACGGAAGCAGACAAGTGTTTATTGATGACCCACTCTGGAAGGCTGTGGCAGCTTTATTTCACCCACACAGCGCCAGGAGGGGGAGCTCCATGTGAGACATCTGGGGGCCAGAAAGGTTCAGTCATTTCTGCCTAAGCATAAGAAGCAAACAAAGCAGAACCAGATCACCATACTTACTGGCCGTCCCTATAGTTGCCTTCCTGGCAAACCCCATGGGAATTATGCAAAAGGGTGGTTTCCGTGTTCCAGGGACCCTAGAGGACCACATTACAGTGAAGCAGATGTGAAATCCCACTTTGACCTGCTAGCATTTCGGTAACAACAACAGAATCTTGTGAAACGCAAGGCTGGGCTTTCCTCTGGGACTAGCAGAGATGGCTACATTGAGAGAAGAGGTCACTAAATATAATTTTGATGCCAGCCAACAAAGGCAACAAAGACCATGAGAAATGCCAGAGTCAAGAGGGACCCCAAGAGTTCTCCCACCAGGCTTGCAGCACTTGGTCTTGGGCCCAGTGTCCTAACCTGCTCAGAGGACTCCTGTGAGATGAGGAACTGAGTACACTTGGATACTGGTGACAAGTCTGTGGAGTAGAATTTGCACACGGTACTTCTTTTTGTTTTATAAAACAGGGGTCTCCTATATAGCCCTGGTTGTCCTGGAACTCTCGATGGAGACCAAGCTGGCCTTGAACTCACAGAAATCCCCCTGCCTCTGCCTCCTGAATGTTGGGTTTAAAGGTGTGCACCACCACACAACCACTACAAAGTACTTTTAGACTTTGTCTCATTTAACCCTCCCATATCGGTACTTGCTTCTCACTGTGCTAAGCAGGAGAACCTGGGACTTGAAAAAGCCAAGGTGTTACTTTAAGATCATGCAGTCTTAGCCGGGTGGTGGTGGCACATGGCTTTAATCCCAGCACTCAGGAGACAAGGGCAGGTGGACGGACCTCTGAGTATGAGGCCAACCTGGCCTACAGAGTGAATTCCAGGACACCCAGGGCTACGGAGAAATCCTGTCTCAAAAAACGAAAGCAACAAAAAGATCATGCAGTCTTTGGGTTGAGTGACATGAAGCAGTCATTCTTAAAGATCAATAGACACGGGGAAGGAGGCATCAAGGATCTCTCATTTAGCTTTGAGGACCAAAGTGCTCCAGGAATCAAGCTACACTCGACCTCTTCTGCTAGCCCTCTTGCTCCCAAAATTCATCTGACCAAATTACCTGCCCTCATTTTTAATAGAGTCACAAGGACTGAGATGGTTATGCCCTTGTGAGGCTCAATTCAAACCAACAGTTCCTTTCAAACCAACAGGTATACCTTTGATCTTTGAACCCAGCACTTGGGAGGCAGTGAGGCAGGAGGATCTCTGTGAGTTTAACGATAGCCTGGTCTTCATAGTGAATTCCAGGCCAGTTGGAGATATCTAATGAGACTTTGTCTTTAAAAAAAAATCTCCAGATAAGGGGACTTACATCTCATGACACACAAGAGGCTCCCTGAACTTCCCAACCCTCCCCGGGTTTGGCAAAGACCAAGCAGGCACAACACTTCTGTCAGAAAACATCTTTCAAAATATGGCTTTCTGTCCAGATTGCCACTGTATGCAGGCCCTTACCTCTTAGTGTCACCTAATTCCCTCAAGCACCCTCCAATGGCTCATGCTGACAGATGTCCCCAGCTCTTCAGACAACAGCAAGACCACACCTGTTTTCTTCCCCTCGGTGCTGACTGTCTTCTATGGCAGCTACTCTGCGTGTGTCTGCTGAGTAGAGCTAAGCAGTAGAAATGGATTCTAAACTCGTCCGACTTCAGACCTTGACGTGGCTTCCCCAAGCTGTCACTCTGCTTGCTTCTTTGTCATCTTAACTCATAAAGCGGCGAAGCCATATATCCCCTTTTTCCATAGAAATTTCATCTGTGGATGAACCCTCCCACTTCACTAACTCCAATTTTTTTTTCTCGGTGAGCACCTTGTTATCAAATGTACTGAGCAAAGTTCAGGATAGTCTCGAGCATTTGGACCAAAAGAAATCACTCTCTCCAAGAATTCTGAACAATAGATGAAGAGCCCAGTGCCTAACTGGCCCAATCGGTGCTTCCTTGGCCTGAGTTTCCTCTACATCCATCCTTGCACTCCTGTGGAGAGCAAAATCTAAACACATCCCAGCCAGGATTGGGCATTTATACCCATGCAACCAGGAATTTAATAGAACTGTTCTTACCTTCTGGTGTAGTCAGATCTACTGGCTACTGTACAGATGAAAATGAGGAGAGAAAATGGCCTAGTCTTATGAGTGAGACCGGTACTCATAGGAACAGGCAGTCCCCATTTCACCATTGGCCAGCCCAGTGAGGGATAGTAGCCAGTGAGCAGCGCCCCTTGCCCCTGGCAGCTGCCTTAAATCTCCACCCCAGGGAACCTGGTTCAATCCCGCCTGGGTTGGGGAAGCCAAGTAGAGCTTCAGTCAAGCTCCCATGTGCCCAGGCTTTGGCTGTGCTCTTCCAGAGCGGCAGATGGGGCAAGGGTAAAGACAGCAATAAAAACAAGATGTCTCTGGATATAACGAGAAACGTCCTCAAGTAAAACGAATTGTTCCAGGATCAGGAGACCTCCCTCTCCCATAAGTCAACAACACTAATTCTCACATGGTACTCCCGCTTATTGTGTGGAACTAAATGTGAGGCTGTGTGGTTCAATATTTCAGCAAGAATGATGAGGGACCGCCCTAGGAGAAAAAGTAGAAGGGATCCTCCTGACTCTGACCGGGGTCCCGTATTGAGGAAAGACCATGTGTATCAATGGTTCTCAACCTTCCTAATGCTGCAGCCCTTCAATACAGTTCCCCATGTTGTGGTGACCCCAACCATAAATTATTTTCATTGATATTTCATAACTGTAATTTTGCTATTGTTATGAATCATAACGTAAACATCTGATGTTTTAAATGGTCTTAAGCAAGCCCTGAGAAAGGGTCCTTTGACCCCCCAAAGGGACTGTGATCTACAGGTTAAGAAATGCTGATGTGGATGACTTCTGAGAACCAAGGTATAGGGAAGTTCCTGATGTGGTGTGGGGCAAGTTCAAGGCCTTTAGCAATTTCCGAATTCCAAAATCCATAGTCCATACATAATTGAAGCCCAGAATCACAGAAAACTTGCATTGACATCAGAGTACTGTCTTTTAAGATTTCCTGGTCCCAAATGTCAAGATAAAGTTTTGAAAACTAATTTTCTGCATAGAGATAAACCTTGTTTTCCCAGTCCCTTAAGTATACACCTCCTCTGTCTACTGGGAAGCCCAGGTCTGGCTTCTAGGAACCCACTAAGCTGTTCCTAGAAGGCTTGAGATTGGAAAACCAACGCGAACCCATGTCTTGCATTTGAAAGCCCAGAGTTGGTTCTCAAGAGCACAGATTTGAAGAACTGAATCATGCTTCCAGACGGAGCTCTGGATGCCAGGAGTAGCTTCAGTAAGTCCTTCAGAAACAGAGCGTTCCAGGCACAGGCTGGGCAAGTGTCTGCTGCTGCCAACTACAGCCTTGCCTGGCCACACAGAGCCTAAAAGTCTTGCTTTTACTGGTGGATGGGACAACATTGTCAAGCCCACCGAGAAAGGAAAATCCAAGTATGCCCTTACACTGTGTCTTCCTATTAATACACAGATGTTTAAGAGTAAGAGAAACAAACCTGGGGCATGAAGCCGGATCTCTCTAACTGCAAAGGGCATATGCTTACTAATACCTCATGGCCCTCACCTCTCCTCATTTATACACTTCATGGTAGTTTTGGTCACCTGTCCCTGCCTTCCATATTGGCATCCTGCTGATTTCAGCAGATTCTAACCATTGCACAAGACGGCGTGACTTTCACCCCAAAACTACACCAATACTTTGCCGGGTCTGGGAGTCAGCCAGCTGCATTGTGAAAGCCTGTCATTGGATAAAGCCTCAGGAGAATCCACCTCCCACCACAGAGGACATGATGTGGAAACACAGGCTCGCTAAGAGACTAGAAGGGGAAAACATTAAACCACACATGTCCCTGAGCCTAGTTTTTCGGAGGACAGCTGTGTTACTGCCCAGAACGAAAGAGCCACAGAAATTCGGTCATTTGCTTTGGGCTCTCTGTCCACAGCCTTTGTCTCCATGTGAAGTGAGGCACTAAAGTAAAAGGCCAGAGGCCTGAGTTTCCGTAAGTGTGGCTAAATTTGGATGTATATTATTGCTTAATCGTGACTTTTTAAAATTTTTTCACCGAAATAACACAAAATTGTATTTTGAGACCTAACACTGCAGACGAGTGGGTCTCTCCTGCAGCACTCCGAATCCCTAGACATTCAAGAAAGAACTATGTCTTTGTCTTAGAAGAATAACTCGGGGGTAGAGTGGTACGCTGACTCCCGATCTCTCTCCTCGGTACCAGGAAAGAAAATAAAGCAAAATACCAGCCTATGTGTTATACAAAGACAGATCCGCGGTAGCTCTTCATCCAAAGCAGGTCTGGTGGGCGCTGAGGCGCCTGTGGCAGCAGTGCCAGGACCAACATTGCCTTTACTAACGGACTGCTGCTGCCTCGGGCCTGCATGGTTTGGATGGGCAACCTTAGGCTCATGTGTTGAAACTCCAGGACCTCTTTTGCATGTTGCTTTTTAAGTTTTCCTACAAGGGTACAGCCCACTTGGAGCACATCCTTCCTCTTCTCGCCCCTCCCCCTTCCCGCGTGGACACTCTCACTCGTGGTTTCATTGCACGAGACATGGGGGATCTTATGTAAGTCTATAAAACCCAGGAGCGCAGATGAGGGAGCACACACGCCCAATCTGCCCTTCTCAGACTGCCTCCGTTCCTGCACCACAGCTGTCTTCAGCTGCACACGTTTTCCTGCGCACGACAGAACCTGATCCTTCTTTACAGCTGAAGGAAAAATTCCACTGAGCATGTGCCACCACATTTTCTTTAAGCAGTTTCTATGTTGGGCACCTAAATTGGTTCGCTAGACTGGAGCGAGGGGCTGGCCTGGGTTGAGAGCCAGCAACGGCAGAGCCAGGCTTTGTGTTTTCCGTTTTCATTTTGTGAGACTACTCCCAGACAGATTTTCATAGAGGCTGCACTATTTTTCAAGCCTACCAGCGGTGTACAAGGGTTCCTATCAGTCTACAGTCCTTGACAGAATTCATCCTTATCTGGTTTCCTACGAAAGCCATTCTGGCTGCGGTAAGATAGAATCACAAGGTTTTGATTTGTATTTCTGATTACTGAATTAGAGTCATTTGGGAAGAGCGTCTCAGCTGAGGAAATGCTCCCACCAGATGGCGCTGTAGTCAAGCCTGTGCGGCATTTTTTTTTCTTGATGTTTGCCATGGGAAGGCTCAGCTCATATGGGCGGAGTTATCTCTATACAGGAGCTCTTGGAGGGTGTAAGAGCAGCAGGCTGATAGCTGGGTGGTGATGGTGCACACCTTTAATCCCAGCACTCGGGAGGCAGAGGCAGGTGGATCTCTGTGAGTTCGAGGCCAGCCTGGTCTACAGAGCGAATTCCAGGACAGGCTCCAAAGCTACACAGAGAAACCCTGTCTTGAAAAAACGAAGGAGAGGGCAGGCTGAGCTGCAGTTCCTGCTACTAGGTCCTGCCTTGACTTCCTTCAGTGACCTCAGAGTTGTCCACTGGTGCTTTACACGGCACTCGAAACCCTAAGATAAGCCACCTGAAGACAGTTTCTAATGGATGATGGAGAAAGCAGATAAAGACGCCCCAGAACCCTGAAGAACTCTGTGGAATATTTCTTCCTGTAGATCCCGCAGGTCACAAGAGATAGAAATACACTTTTTAAGTCATCCCATCGTTTGGTCCTTGTTATAGCAGACTAGTAATGCATGGCACATGCCTTTGTACAAAAGAAATAATTTTGCATTCCAAGAGTTAGATAAATAATAGGAATTTTTAAGGTGAAAGGGTTCTGGTGAACTCAGTGGTTGAGCTCTTGCCTACTATATGTGAGGCTTGAACTAGACCCTCACCTAGACCCTTACCTGGGGAGAGGATAAGAAAACAGAACACTGCAGAGAGGGAAGGAAGGAAGGAAGGGAGGGAGGGAGGGAGGGAGGGAGGGAGGGAGAGAAAGGGAGGGGAGAAAATTTCTCTGAGCCTGGATAGTTTTTTGTTTGTTTGTTGTTTTGTGTGGTGTGATGTGTGGGTGTCAGTGTAGGAGAGTGCGTTTTTTCCTTAGGGAAATATAGGAGAATCACTGACCTCTTGAGTTTTCAGGCTAGTATTGAAAAGCTCTAGAAATGTTAATTTGGTTGGTTTTTCTCTGAACAACACATAAAGCACAGCACTTACATTCAGAGCACCAAACTGAACAGAATTGGGGGCCTTATTCATGTTCTCTACTTCCTATTGGGAACAAGGAGGCAACTTTAAAAAGCCGTAGCAGGTCTGAATCATAACAAGCCCACAGCACAACTGACGCTCCGATGGAAGTACCATTCAGGCCTTGGAATCCAGCATGTAGACAGCAACACCTGCCAAAACAAGAGCAAAACCTAATCCATCAAATCCGTAGTTCTGAAAAAGTCCCTACATGTACTAACCTTGCTTTTTGGCTCCTCTGGTTCTGCTTCTGGTTAACTGTTCTTGCTAACCAAGGTGTGTCAATACAGGACGTGACTGTTGTGCTAAAAGCTCACCCCGATAAAGGCTCAGAACTGAACTCAGTTCATGAACACCCAGTGTAGCCACTGGCCAGCTAATAAAGACTTCCTACTACCTTGAACCCAAGTCTGAGCAGTCTTCTCCGGTGGCTAACCCACAACAGAACAATTCTTTCAAAGGTCCTAAGAGACCTCTCACTTTCCTGTCTTTTCATTTAAACAAACAGAAAAAACGTGGCAAACATTTTACTCAGAGGGTCATCTTTTCATCTTACTTCCAAACTGCTTTAATAACGTTACCACAGCAACAGTCCAGCAGACAGCTGTTTCTGAATGGCTACCAAGCTCAAGACCCTGGAGAAGACGATACAATGTCCTATGGACCAGAGTGGGTGTGCCTCAGAGCACTTGATGAACATCATTCAATGACTGGTATAGGAAGGCTCCTCTGGTCACACACCTGTGCCATGTGATCATCAGAGATGCTCCTCTTGGTTGGTCCAGGCGCTAAGCCCTCTGCAAGCATCATCAAACACAGATACTTTCATGGATTCAGGGAAAGGCTCAGGTTTGGAATATTCTGTACTGTGAGGTAAGAAACAATTTATTCAATGATCAAACCAAGTGATCCACGGAGCATTTCCTGAAGCAAGTATTCAAAATTCTGAAGGTTTTTCTATTAACCCACAATATGCCAGCTGAGGCTGTGACATATTCACATGAAAATGGCTGTATCATAACAGGCAGGACAAGCACATGGTCATCTTACCTTGTTTAGGCTGTTGCAACAAAACACTATAAACAGAGTAGCTTGCAAAACACCAAATTGCATTATGGTCCTGAGGACTAGGCCGTCAAAGGTCCTGGATCTAGCAAGGGACTGCTTTCTAGATTGTAAGTGGCAACTTCTTGCTACATTCTCACATAATAGAAGGCGCAAAGGAGTCTCTTGGCCATCTGCATGGGCATCGTTGCCATCCTAATGCCCACCATACCTGTTACAGCTTCAGCCTATGAATGTTGGAGGAGTGCTGACATTCAGGGCATAACAAAAGCCAAAGCATGCTCCAAAAACTTTAATGCACTCAGTGGTCTCTCCTCTCTCTCTCTCTCTCTCTCTCTCTCTCTCTCTCTCTCTCTCTCTGTCTCTCTCTCTCCTTTCCTCCCTCTCTGTCCCTCTCTCCTCTCTCTCCTTCTCTTTCCCGCTTCTCTCTATCCCCCTCTCCTCTCTTTCTCCTCTCTCTATCCCCCTCTCTCCTCTCTTTCTCCTCTCTCTCTCTTTCTCCTCTCTCTCTTTCTCCTCTCTCTCTCTCTCTCTCTCTCTCTCTCTTCCTCTCTCTCTCGGACACACACACACACACACACACACACACACACAGAGGCATACACACAATTAAGACAGATAGTATGAGTATATGTTATAAAAAGTGTAAAAATATGCCCTCATCAATTGTGTGGCCTACACTTTTCTGACTTGACAGACTTGTCTGTGTTAACACACCAGAGCACTCTGCCTGTTTTCCTAAGCTGTTGAATCCTCAAGCTGGGTTGCATCCGATTAGATTGGGATTGATGGAGGTGACATGGAAATAAACGAAGACAGCACCTCTGTTCTTTTAATCAAAACTGAAATGCCACAGTCTCTCTGTTGAAGCAGAGGCTATGAGCATGTGGAGTGTATAAAGGGAGGTGTCCAACAGGAAGGAAAAGGGGGCTCTTTTAAGTCATTTACCCTTCTGATCTGATGAATTCCCTTCGAGGATGGTACACCCCCACACCCCAGTCCTTCAAAGTTTCCTTAGTGTAGTTCAAGGAGCTCATGAGTGATTCAGGTCAGCATTCCACGCACCCCACAGGACCTCATAGCAACTCAAGCCGCCTCTCCCCTCTCTGTGTGCCTGTCAGTTGGTATTTACCTCCCAGGAGACTGCTCTCAGCCTTCCTCTGTCTATATTCTAGGGATGTGTGAGAAACAGGAATGAGACGGTAAAGAGGACAAGTGGGCCTGCAGGTAGAAGGAAAGAGCTGGAAGGAATTAACCACGTGGCAAGCAAGGGGGTACTTGTCAGGTCTTTTACTGGCAGGCTGCATTTTGCAGTTAGAAAGAAAGGGCCGATTACTTTATTACTTACCTTGAAAGATACTCTTATAAGGAATCGTAAAGAAACCACAAACCTAAACTTTTATATCTGAAAAAGAATCAGTCAGTTCTACTTTAAATCTTAAGGTACATATCCCTTCATTAATAGTTTTTTTTAACATCAGGAGGTTGAGGACAGAAATGGGTATAAGGGATTAATCATCACCTTTGGTCATCAACCAAACCTAGCAAGGAGAGTATGTAAGACAGTAATAATTCCACTGGTTTGTTCTTCTTCACTGACGTTAAAGAGTTCCTCACTCAATTCTGTGCCTTTCTAAAATTTTAGATTGTCTTCTTGGGTTTTTCACCTCAAAGTTATTTAACAAAACATTTTAGTATTTTCAAATCTTTGTTTCAGCTGTGATGCACTCTGAGCCCTGTGGACACATCACCCAACAATAAGGCTAAAAGAATTTAAACTAGCTGAGCGATTGGGACTCAGTTGTTAGTCATTAACTTGGGCTACAATCCATGAAGTTCCTTAGGTGAGACTCACAGACCCTGGCTGTGAAACATAGCCTTGATTTATTTTTATTCACCATTATTATTCTTATTTATTTTTTATTCTTATTTATTTTTATTTGCTATCATTATTATTATCCAATTAGATAGTGCATCTTAGGGAAGGGTCATCTTCTTGACAATGCACAGGTAAAAATGCCCAGTAGAACGGATGTTTCCAAGAGATAAACACACTATACCACAGGCAGTGGAGGTCCCCCCACATCTACTCATGCCATGCTAGATACCAAAGAAAGAGAGCCGCAGGAAACATGTAAAGGCACAGCAGAAGCAAAAGACGTTCCAAGATCTGCAGTCCCGTGGCCTTGCCTAAACAAGACTGGCCCATCAGAGGATTTCCTTCTGCTGGCTGACACCAGGAACTTCAATTGCAACTTTATGCTCCTCTCGTGGACAATGGCACTGAGCACTTGCCAGCCAGGAAACCAGACGACTTCAGTCCAGATTCCCAGAATTCATGGAAAAGCTGGATGCACTCTAAGGGGAGATTGAAGGTGGAAAAGTAGAAGCTTCCAGACTTTTCTGGGTGAGAGAGCCTGGAGTACTTAGCATATTGATAAACAAGATCCTGCCTCAAATAAAATGGAAGTTGAGGACTGACACCCAAGGCTGGCCTCTGGCCTCCACACTCAAGCCATGGCACGTTCATGCTCTCATACAAAAATATGTACCCTCACATACAGAAAACAAATAGATATTTAAATTGCATCTGAACACGTTCAGATTTTTTCCTTGTTATTATTCTCAAACATTATAGCATTCACATTGCATTAGGTATTATATGTAATGTCAGGTTGCGCACATGGGAGAATGTATTCAGGACATACATAAATTCCGCTCTATACAAGGGACTAGAGTATCTGCCATGGGTTTCACAACTGTTGCCCAACAGGAAGAGTCTCCAGAGGTGGGGATGTGGGGACAAGGATACAGCCTCAGAGTAGGAACGGGGAAATGTCCCCTTCCAAACAAGGCCACTGAGTGGTGCCCCACGGTCGTCACCGGGGTTCCCATCAGGATCCTCTAGTTGTGACCAGAACCCAGCACTTACAAGAAGGTGGTGCCGGCTGGTATGCAGAACTCAGCTTCCTGACCAGGCCAGGTGTTAATGGTGGGGAATCCAGAAAGGGAGGGAAAGGGGGCTGAAGGGACGGGGCAGTGAGGGAGGACATGAGGGAGACAAGAAGAGAGTTCCACTCAGAGGACGCGTCTTTTTTCCCACAGTTTCTGCTTCTTCAGCACCCTCCGTGGAGATATGCCCCCTGCTGCCTTGAGGACATCCCAGAATGTATATCAGCAGAGTAAAGGCTCTAAAAAAATAAAATGCAAAGGGGAGTGGGGGTTCTGTTCCAGAATGATCCAGGGGTTGAGGGAGTCCTGAAGGGTGGGCATAGCTGGAGAGAGACACATTCTGGGCAAGGGATGCCTGGAGTATGGGCACTGAGCAAAAATGGCCTGGAGTTGGTAGTGAAGGCACAGTTTCCTCACCCAGCAGGTGAGACGCTGTGACCGACCTCACCCTCTGCCTAGAGGCCTCACAAACTGTTCTTACCCAGAACATGTTGGGGTGAGTAGCACAGGGCACAGCAGACCACACTCTCCTGGAAACCCTTCAGAAATCCCACCATCGGGTGGAGGCTCTCGGGGTAGCTGGACAGGGTCCTGTGGCACTGAGCAGCCTGGTTGAAGTCCTCATCCTGGGAAGTGGACAAAGTGAGAACATCTGGCTTGGGGTTGGGCCACACCTCTGTCTTCCAGCTGTGACTGCAGGAAACACCAGGAAGTTTCTCTTTAGGGCATTTCACAGAAGGTGAGTCCTGAGGCTGGGGTGACAGTGACAGTCTTGCCATCGGTGAGGGAGATGTGGAGGGACAAAGAGAAGCCCTTGGTTGTCCTCTGTATCGACTGAAAGGGTTGTTATCCCCAGGGTCAGTGGCCTCAGGATCTCAGATGCTGCCAGGGACCACAGAGCCACCATGTACAACACTCCTCCATCAAAACTATTCTTTTTACTTTCCAAATTAAACAACAATCTGCATCCAAAACTTAGATCCCAAGGATTCTCACAAACATATTACAAAGGACAGCATGAGAAAGAAATCTTGCTCAGTTACCCAAAAGTCCAACTCTGCGATGTACCCTTAAACTGACAGTCTTCCGTTTCCAAATAAAGAATGCAAAACAACAACAACAACAAAGCAGCTATCTGTCCATACATAGCAATCAATAAGGAAGCTCTTTGAAAGCCTTCAGAGTGCAGGTCCCACCCTGTACCTGTTGACATGGGCATGTGGGTGTGGTTTTTGTTTGTTTTTTTTTCAAGACAGGGTTTCTCTGTGTGTAGCTCTGGCTGTCCTGGAACTAGCTCTGTAGACCAGGCTGGCCTCGAACTCACAGAGATCCGCCTTTCACTGCCTCCCGATTGCTGGGTTTGAAGGTGTGTGCCACCACCGCCCAGCTTTGGCTTTTGTTTCTAACCAACTCTTAAAGACTGCTTAGCATTTCGCCCACAGCTCCACACCATATCCCACCTACTGGAGAATACGGCTTTATTCGATTTCTGCCAGCTTTCTTTATCATCAGCACATCACACTTCGACTGGGCAGGATCTAGGTTTATTTAAGTCTATGAAAAAAACTAAAGTTCAAAGCAAATTCGATCTTGCTTAAGGGTACATTGTAAAGTAACAATTCTTTTTTTAATATTTATTTATTATTATTATGTATACAATATGCTGTCTGTGTATATGTCTGCAGGCCAGAAGAGGGCACCAGACCTCATTACAGATAGTTGTGAGTCACCATGTGGTTGCCAGGAATTGAACTCAGGACCTTTGGAAGAGTAGGCAATGCTCTTAACCTCTGAGTCATCTCTCCAGCCCCCTAAAGTAACAATTCTTGATATTACATGCCTCATATGATCCATTTGAGAGCATGGAAAAGCACATCATTATACTGTCCCAGGAGACAAAACAAATTTGAAACAGCTAAAACATCTTTAAAAATGCACCAAGCTCGTGGGGAAAAAGGTCTCACACGAAACTTTAATT